ACTTCACTGTGTATGCAATTCTCTTAGATATGCTGCCTCTTCTTTTACCAGGTGGGGACTGAGCCCGAGCGGCTGGATTCTGTGTGCCCAGGTGGCTCTGACAGAAGCATACAATGACACTGTTTTGTTGCCTAAATACTTACTATTTGGAAATATAAAGGGGGTGCTTGCCCTATCTTACTAAATTTTCGCATAATATGGATGACTTGTTGTTGAAATCTTGATTTTGGAGTCTTTCTAATGGGATTTGGGTCAAAACCACACCCGACCCCTTTATTCTTATCTCTGATAACTAGCACATAAGAAACCACTGACAAAGTGGCTCAGGCCCTAGGAGAAGTCAGGGAACACAGGGAACTCTTGAGGACAACACAATAATGTCAAGGAACCAGCAGGTAGTTTGGGTCTTAGCTGAGGCAAGGGGCCATGCTGGTCTCTTTGGAATCAGTCCCTGGCTTGAAGGCCAATAGTGAATCTCTGTCTCTGAATTCCTCCTGCAGAAGATGTTCTGGAAAACCTTGTCAGCCTAAAGCCTGATATTCTTTGAGCCAAGCTAGTGTCTACAGACACACGTTTGTTTCCAGCTTAACACATGAGAGAACGGAAATTCTCCTCCCTGTGCTGTTAAAATCCAAATTGGCAATTTGTTTAAAAACAGTTCTGTGGATCAAAGTCAGTGCCTGCTCAAATCAATGTGTGGGGTGGCAGGATAGGAGTCACACGGCATCAAGACTGCATGGCTTTTCTGAAAGGGATTTGATATATGTCTAAAGCTTTCAGAAGCAGACATGTAAGACAAGACCATTATTCCTGCTTTTTCCTATTTGTGTAGATATGAATACGATGGAAATTGGTCCTCTGCTGTGGCTGCAACTGTGAGCCCCAGCAGTAATCAAACAAACTTTTTCTTTTTGTGTTGTTGTTGTTTTTTTTTTTTTTTTGGAACACAGCGATTTATAGTCAGAAATCATCTTTGCAAAGCAAATTTTATCTGAGAAGCAAGGCTTTTATTTTTGAAGGTGCCTCGTTATATTGACGGGCATTGCATTGTTATTGACATTTTTATCAGATACGAATTAGGAAATTTAATTAGTAAGTGGCCCTAATCTTCCATAAGTGCCTTAATCAATTTACATGTATTCATTTTTTTTTAAATTAACTGGAGAAAAGCTTTTTTTTCTCTTTCAGTAAGCTGAGAGCAGCCATTCGGGGCTGAGCAGTGGGGAGGTTGTGAGTGGCCGGCTACTTGGATGTTCAAAGCTGCCTGTCAGGCATAGGCAGATAGAAACTCCCTAGACTCAGGAACCAGACAGACATTGTGTGCTTTAATTCGGTCCTGTGTAAGAAGCGGCTAACATACCAGTTGATGGGTTAGCTCATCTTTGGTTAAGCTGTTGTTTTGAAAGGCTGCGTCTGGTAACACACCATTCTCTCAGTGATGGGGGAGCAGATTGTATCTTCTGTTGGAAGACATCACCAGGGCAGTTAGTAATGTCTGCCGGAGGCCTGTGGCATCGTCAGCCTTTAGTAATGTCGAAAAGTCCCGGATACCACAAAGAATGTCAGGGTTTCAGTAGCTTCGGAAGCAGCTTTGTGGTACCTACGTGCAATTACAGATCCAGCTCACTGTGCTCATCCTTGCTCATCTGTCCGGGAGTTAAGAAATAATGTAAAGCCTTGCTGTATCCAATGAGGAAGAGTGGCTGTGGGTTAAACGGTGGCATGAGCCGGGCGATGGTGGTGCACGCCTTTAATCCCAGCACTCGGGAGGCAGAGGCAGGCGGATCTCTGTGAGTTCGAGACCAGCCTGGTCTACAGAGCTAGTTCCAGGACAGGCTCCAAAGCCACAGAGAAACCCTGTCTCAAAAAACCAAAAAAAAAAAAAAAAGAAAAAAGAAAAAGAAATGGTGGCATGAAGGTGCTCTGTTTTAGGCCGAAGTATTAACGGAGACAAAAGACTATTCTCCTGCCACTGGTGGCCACTGCCGGACTGGACCACGCACTTAGAGATTGAGTTCACTGAAAATAAATCCCTGTGTTTTAGTTATTAGTTATCTGGCCTCATTGGGGGAACTGGCACATGGTGTGGATCTCTGTATTGAGTCACTGTGTGTGGTTATCTACGCAAGGCAGAATACCTGGGAACCAACGTAACTGTAAAACTATTAAAGGTGTACAGGGAGTGACATCAGCAGCTACTGAACCATAAAGTAGAGGGGAGGTGGGGGCATTGGATGGGGTTGTGCGTGTTCTTACCTACATTACGTATGCCAGAGTTGGTATACCTTCTTAGTCGCTTCATAAGTTAGACAGGTCTGAAATTAGTAGATTAAAGACTTTAAGGGCCACTCCCTGGAGCTACTATGCCTAGAGTTGTAGAATTGACAACTGTAACAGATCTGATCCAGCATCTTAACAGTAAAGTGAGGAAGCTGATGCCTTTTCTGAAAATTACAAAGCTGGTAACTTGGAACCGAGATCACAAGCTGCCTCTCATACAGTATATGCTTCATAATTGTCCTCTAAGCTCAGATTCGTGAGGTGTTCAGGAGCCATCCTGTTGTTGAGTCCCCTGTCATAATCTCTTGAACTTTCATGTTAAAATAAAAGTTGATTTAAACACAGGGGCCAGAAATGTCTAAAGAAGCAATTGTTTAATTGAGTTCAACAATAGACTAGAAGTTAGGAATGGGTATCTTCTGGGTTGTAGAAAAGGTGACTATAAGTAGGAAACCAGTGACAGTGGCCCCGGATGCAAAGTGATTAGAGAAGGGGAAAGAACAAGGCGGCTCAGGAAGAGAAGATCCGAGGCTGCCATTTTCCACGGGAGCCAAAGATAAGCTGGAATCAGCAGAGAACTAAGGGCGGCATCTTGCCTCTGCACCAGCAAACATCGGTGTAGCTTGATTGGACGACAGCCTGAGACCTGCTGCCCACACTCGTTCCCAGAGCAGGCTGGAGAATCGTCCCTGTGGAAGGAGCAAGGAGGGGGTAAAGGCACGGCTAGAATGCACAAAGCCTTGTTACCTTACATTGAGGACGAGGAGTACTGGAGGGGAGTTCCTGGGGGACTCTGCAGCTGCTCTAGTGCCACGAATAAAGTCACCTTGGACACCCCAGGGAGAGTTTTATCATTGACTTCGTGGCCTGCCGTGAATCTCTCAGCACAGGTGCTGGCTACCTAGATCGTTTCATGCCCATGATTAAACAGTAGAATGGTTACTTTCTAGTCACCAAATAAATTAATTTTTTTTAAACAGTGGTAGTTGGGGCTGGAGAACTGGCTCAGTGGTTAAGAAAACTAGCTTACTGCTAAGTTTGGTTCCCAGCACCCATACCAGGCGGCTCACAACTGCTAACTTCAACTCCAAGAGGATCTAATGCCCTCTTCTGGTTCTGTAGGCACTGCACACATGGGCCGTGTCTTTATATAACACACATGGAAATAAGAATGAAATCACTAAAAAAATAATGGCAGTAGCAAAAAAGAAAAAAAGAACAGTGAAGATAATATATATAGTTTCCACTGTAGCCTCTGTTCCTCTCTATTTCTACTAGAAAACCCCGCGTGTAGGGCTCTTATTTTGATACCCAGTGGTCGTGTTCTAGGGGAAACGCACTAACAGTGAGAAGCACAGTCCAAGAAATTCATTCAATAACAGAATCAGTCCGTACCTCTTAATCTTCCTAGACTTCTAGAACAAAATGCAGTATTGGCAGCTTATAAAACAAGGCAAATTTATTCTTTCTAGCTCTGGTGGCTTGTAAATCTTAACTCAAAGCACTAACAGACTTGGCATCCTGTGATGTCTCCTTTCCTGGTTCATAGCCTCTAGCTATGTACTCATATAGTAGGTGGGGCAGTGTTTCTGTCTGGGCCTCACATGTAGAGACACTAATACTTGTCATGACCTTATCAGTTCCTGCCCCCTAACATGTTCATCTTGGTCATTAGGATTTTTACATGAATTTGGGGCCAAAGAAGATTAGAACATTGCATTATTGTGAGCCTGAATATGTTGTTTATTGGGCTTCATGTAACTAACAGAGACTGTCCATCCTAGGCGTCAGGTCTCCCTGTCTCCTAACTTTAACTGAATACTTCTTCAAATATACCACGTGCATACAAATAATGTTATTGTGTGTATCTGAGCTTGGTGGCACGGGCGTGTAATCCCAACTACTCAAGTAGCTAAGACAGGACGATTGAAAGGTCAAAGCCATTCTGGGCAACTTAGTAAGAACAATCTTAAAATAAGAAGTGGACCAAGAGATGGAATATGGAATGTGTCTAGACTGTTTCCCTAGCACGTACAAAGCTCTGGATTCACTTCCCAATGTGTGTGTGTGTGTGTGTGTGTGTGTGTGTGTGTCTGTCTGTCTGTCTGTCTGTCTGTGTTTATGTCTGTGTGTCTTCCAAAACTGCAACCACTGAATATCAGAAAAATAGATACACGCTGTTATCCCATAGATCTTCAAGTTTGTTTGTTTTCTGTTACTGAAGCAAATCAATTTGTAAGAAAAAAAAAGGGGTTAGGTTAGGTCATATTTTTAGAGGTTCTAGTCGATGGATGGTTGGCATGTTGTTGTGGTGTCTGTGGTATAAGCCACTCACCTGGTGGTAGCCAGAAAACAGGAAAGACAGGATCTCCTGGCAGCACGTTGGTCAAGCATGGGCCTTTGCAGGGCACTTAAATATGTCAGAATGAAAACCAAGTCTAAGTAGTGCTTTTCTTTGCTTGAAATCCTGTGACGGTTTCTCCCATTGTGTTCTGACTCTCATCGCGGTGTTGAATTCCATTCTCCATGAACTGGGCACTTGTGTATCTCTCCCAATAGATGGGAAACCTCAAGAGGGCAGGAGTTGCATCTTACACTTGAATACCCCACGTTACAGCTGTGGAGGTTCCCTGCCTATGTTGGCTGAGAGATTAAATGGGTGAGTGGAAATACCAGGATGTTGCTGAACACCGACTTTCTTTTGTTTTTCCTTCCTCGAGGACTTCGGCATTATGTTCCTGCACCACCTTGCAACTATTTTCTTGATAACCTTTTCATACGTCAACAACATGGCCCGAGTCGGGACCCTGGTTCTCTGTCTTCACGACTCAGCCGATGCTCTGCTAGAGGTAACAAGTTTTCCTTTCGTCTTGAAAAAGACAAAATCCAGAACTCACGAAGTCCCCAGACCAGCAGTCCTGTAATGCGATGAATGATGCTTTGAAACTGTTGGGTGCTTAGTGGGCTAAGCTGGCGTGAAACTGTGTGTCCAGAGTGAGGTTGTTAGTATCCTCAGCTACTAGTAGGAAGCTGGACGCCTTGACCAGTCCACCTTTGGATGGTTGATTCTATAGCAGAAAAATCATTGTTTTAGTAGATATTTCTCCTAAGAGTCACACTAATTTATGTGGCAACTGCATATAACCCAGTTTAGTAGTTATAATAAAATTAAGCAGTTTGATTTTTGTTACCAGTATACATACTATCCTAGTGGTTTTAACAATGCAAATTTTTGATAAAAATCATAAATTTTATACCAAAGATTTGTAAAGAATTTATCACTTTCAGAATTATGCTCAATGATGTTATGTGCATAAAATGAGTCTTTTCATTTTATGCTAAGAAATTATATAGCTGGTCAAAATTAACTTTTAGAAGAGTACAGAGCTCATGTAGAGGTGACTCTTGGAATCATTTGGTTTTTTTTTTTCCCTGCCAGGCCATGGTTCTTTTGCTGCAAAGACAGAGGTCTCCTCGGTGATCTGTTATTGCAATAGGAGGCACAAATGTACACGTTTGATCTTTCTTAGAGGGCGTGAATTAGAGTTTGAATTGAGAATAAAACCTCATCAAAAATCCTGGTCCCCTGAAGGTTTGAAACAAAGATAGGCCTTCTGAACTGCATAAGTCAGAAGATAGTCAGAAGATAGTTTAAGGCCATGATTATTGACTCAAGCTGAACTTCATGCAGGATGTTTTTTAAAGGAGAAATGGATGGACTAGGAAGGAAGCCTTCTGAAGTTCTATTATAATTCGTTCTGTGTGTGCTTAGAAGTGGACGTTTATGCCTCAGGCTACATGTTGAACTCAGTCGTGGACCTGCAGCCCTTGTTAATTCCTGTGGAAATCTCTGGCATGCAGCTTGGTCAGAGCTGTGAGAGAGGAGATAGGGGCTGAGCTGTCATCCACCCCTTTCATCCAAAAAAAAAAAAAAAAAAGATAGTTAATCCAAGAATCCAAGTATGGGGCATAAAAGCAAAAGGCTTTCATAACCTGGATTGTTTTTTTTTTTTGACATCATAGAGAATGCTTGGAAATGTCTAGTTAATGAGATTGAAAAGGAGGGTTTACAGCGTCCACATCTCTGCCAAGTTGATGCCATTGCTTCTTTGTCACTGCTAAGCGGGTCAGTGTGAAAGGAAAATGACTTGTTGGTAATACCTAGCCAGGAGAAGGCTGGAAGTACTTTTATTTTAATGTAGTTTGTGGTGTTATACTTCAAGTATTCGTAAAATTAAAAGCTCCTAATTTTAACTTCCACTCGGGTAAGGGCTATTTCCTCCTAAGACACATTTCTCTCATAGCTTCGTGCACTGCTTAGCACCGTTAAATTGCTGCCTCCGAGGATGCTTTCAGCACTCTTTCCAGTAATTAATTTTCCAAGTCAGAGAGAAGAATATTGTGTGTGCAGAAGAGATCCACTGTTTCTAACAGTGCTTAGGTATGGGAGACTCTGCACACCTGCAAGGAATGAGGAAGAAAAAAAGTCCACTTCCAGGCCCACCTGACCTTACTTAGACTCTTTTAAAAGTGGTGTATAGTTGCCTCCCTGGACTAATTTATATTATATATAAAATCACTGAAGCTGTTGTCATCAGCCGTGAGAGTATTTCCTGCAGACATTGGGACATTAGTAAATTTTATCTAGAAAATGAACCTGTAATATGGTCAAAGATCTGACCCGTTAGTCGTGACGCTCTCCTCATCTCTAAGTTTGTTGGAATCAGCTGGGACACCCTCTCCCCACAGCACTTCTGGGATGGTTAAAGTAAGCACAACCCTCAAAGCAGGCAGGAAGACAAATATGGAGAAGCCCTATAGGCTCTGTGCAGTCTCTGAAGACTTTCTACATTGACTTGTTACGTGGTGTCTGTATGGCTATCTCTGGCTTGCTAACATCACATAATGCAGAAGTTTCTTATTCGTCCTCTCTGTTTTCCTGAAATTGGCCATATGATTGAAATTTTAAGGTTGCTAAATATTATTAAACCTGTGAAAGTCATAGTTCTACATATGGTTAATGCCACATTTCACTCAACTTTTGAGTAATTTATAAATGCTGGTGTAGCGTATGCTACTTTTAAGTAGCAGACATGTTTATGCATGTGGTAAGGTATACCTCATTGATAGACCTCACTGTGGCCTCATGCATACTGCAGGAAACTTTTCTTTTATCAGTCTAATTGAATAAGTTGCATTCCTTCCTCTTACAGGCTGCCAAAATGGCAAATTATGCCAAATTTCAGAAAATGTGTGATCTTCTGTTTGTCATGTTTGCCATGGTTTTTATCACCACACGGCTGGGCATATTTCCTCTCTGGTGAGTATGGCACTCTTTCTGATAAAGGCAACCCCTCCAAGGAAACTTTGCAAACACCCTTCTCCTAAATTATACGCCAAAGTCCTTTGTAAGACGTGTACAGCCCATGGAGGAGCACTGAGGAGGGGAAGTCGCTCTGTTGGGGCAGTGTTTGTTTTGCAAGCGTGAGGACCAGGGCTTAGCCCCAGCAGCCACGGTAACACATGCTTGTAATTCTAGTCCTGGGGAGGTGGAAGCCGAGGTACCCCTGGGGCTTCCAGGTCAGCCTAACTGATGAGTTCCAGACCATGTTGTCACCTTACATCGACCGTCGATGGTAGATTCTCGTTTGTCTCTTCCATTCTGAAAGATCAATTTAAATGGGAAATTTGAGCAATGACAAGTGAATAAAGTAGGAAAATGAAGATGTAATACTTGAAGTTGCGATCGTGTCCTCCGGGAGACTAGCAACCACAATGCCGGGGCCGTCAGTGAGTAGTTCTATCATTAGGATTGTAATTAATGAATTGTTGACACAGCTGCCCCTTTTCCATCACAAGGCAGACACACATGTCTCCTCCTTGACACTTAGGCTAGTCATTTTCAAACAGCGTAATCTTAAATAGGATGTGTCTGTAATTATTTCAGGGTTGGGGGAATCTTTCAAAAATATTACCATAACTAGTCATAGGCATTTAAAGAAGAAATTCAAACAGCGTTTAAGGAGTGGTGTCTCAGAATGATGGAAAGCGTTTTCAGTTGAGTAAGACCCTGACTCTTGAAGAAACAGGCAGCACTCATATAAGGAGTAGTTAAGACAGAGGTACGCCTGCTTTTCTTCCCCCCAGTAAACATGTAAATGCTCTTGGGTTTAGGCACTGGTGAATTACCTAGGACATAGGTCCACAGAGCCAAGAAATCCCATCTCACAGTCAGTGAGGGTACTCAGAGGTACGCCTGCTACAGTGACCTGCCGGCTGCTTCGAAAAGTCTCTGTTACCTGGTATAAATGCCTTGCAAGTACTGGGGGGAAAGGGGTTGCGGGGAAGGTTGTACCTGTGACCTAGGCTGTAGCTAAGATTTGGAAAAGCAACTGATGAAAACAGTTTTCTATTTCTTATAATAAAAGAAATAATCTTAAATCACTACCATGACGGTTGCACAGTTAGCAAAGAGAGATCTTTGCGGATATATCCAGTTAGTCAGGTTGGCCCCTTGATGGTCTGTGTTGCTCCTGATCAGCGTCCTTTCACAAAAAAAGCAGTAACAACTTGTGTTTTAAATACTTGATATTGTGAAATTATTTTGAAGCTCCTTTGGAATTAACGCACGGTTTGGGGAAAGACCTTGCAGGTTATCCACTGCAGACTCCCCAGTCCCTCTGCTTGCCATAAGTACTATCCGTCTTCCAGGACAGGGATATTGCTTTTGGCATCCAGGGGAAAAGTCCTGCTTTATTCTGTAAGATGACTTCTGGGTCTTTATAACTTCTAAGGCATGGGCTTCTAAGCTGTATGTGGAATACGTTGTGTGAGCATTGCTTGCACGTGCTTCCGGAGCGGAGGACCAGTGGTTTCATCAGAGTCTCTGATATCTGTGACTCCTTCCTTTGCTCAGAGAAGTGCCTGGTGGAAGGCAGAGGAAGTGTGCTGTGCGTTCCGTCTCGAGTGGAAAGCTCTTCAGGTGTGCAGGTTTCTAGTCCATCTTCTACCAAAAGCGTCTATAGTCCCTTCAGCTATCCCTAGGTTTTGTTTTGCTTCATTTCTTTCCCTGAATTCTTCCTGATGTGATCTTCCAGCCTCATCACGAGAGATAACAGCAGATATTATTTGGTAACCACCCACCTCACGCCCTAGCATGAGCTTTAAGAGTGGCTTCTGCCTTGCCCAGTGGTGATCCAATCTATGTAAGAACTACTTTACGCTCCTTGTCCTGAGGGCAAATCGCTTTATACATTTTACTTTTCAATGTGGTGAATCTGCATACTCGGTTACACAGTCTGCATTTGTTCCTCCCAGAGTTCGCCCTGCTCTTTTCAGATACCATGCTATAAACCGTACAGTGCCTACCCTTCCTCGTACTTTTCTACAGTATACAAAAGACTGCGTTCAAAGCCCTGAGTGAAACGGGAGGAATCTATTACTTTAGGCACCTTTCGTGCAGGTAGAGGCTAGACTGTAGAGGACAGGAAAGGGGGAATGGCGGTGCCCTCCTCTAATCCCAGCCTCTAGAGCGACTAAGCTAGGACTACCCATGTTTAGAGCCAACCTAAACAACACCAACACTTGCTCTCAGAAGAGAAGAAGCAGGGAAGAGGAGCAGGAACACAGCTTAGTGGTAGAGTTCATACACTCTTATATAGTCCTTATTAATGGAGTGCACGTATTTAAAGTGTTCTCATGGTGTTCCGAGCTTCCTTGGTATCTGTTGTCATGTGTTCGTCTCTGACTCTGACCTCTGTTCCTCTTCCCTTTAGTGGGGCTGAGGATCTGTCCATCTTGTTTATCTCCTCAGGGAGCCAGCTCTTAGAATCGTTGACTCTGTATTGTTTTCTTTATTTCTGCCCCATTCATTTCTGCCTTGGTTTTTATTCTTTCTTGCCATCTGCTGAGTTTGGTTTTGGATGTTCCTTTTTTCATGAATTCTTGAGTTGCATCAGTACGTCTTTTGTCTGTGCTCTTTCTGGTGTTGTCCTGTAGACACTTACAGCTATGCATGTCCCTCTTAGTACTTTCTGGTGTTGTATTATAGACACACTAGGGTTACTCATGTCCCTCTTATTGCTGTGTCTCGGGGTTCATTCTGTTGTGTTTTCCTTTTACATTTTGCTACAGGAATATTTTTGATTTCTTCCTTGACCCCTTTGTCATTCAGTAATGAGATCTTCAATCTCTGTGAGTTTATATTTACTAGAGATTTGTTTGCTGTCAGTTTCAAGTTGTACTACCCAATGGTCCGATAGAATACATGAGATTATTTCAATGTTTCTGTTTTTATAAGGTTCTTCTATGCTCCAACATGTTGTTTGTTTCAAAGAAGCTTCCATGTGCTGCTGAGTACAGTGTATATTATTTGGTGCCCGTAGATACCTGTTAGATTCACTGTAAAACATCATTGAATTCTGAGGTTCCTCTGCTGTTTTTTGCGCACATGACCTATCTATTGGAGTGCTAAAATCATCTACCATTATTGGGTTTGTGTTAATCTCTGTCCTTAATCTCATTAGTGTGCTATTTATGAAATTGTGTGCAGCACAGTTTGGTGCATATGTGTTTAGTATTGTGACGTATCCCTGGTAAAGCGATCATTAATCGAGTCCTTGATTAGAATGAATGTACTCTTCTTTGTCTCTTCTAATTAGTGTCGTTCAGATTCTATTATGATACTAGGACGCGACGCCTGCTTGCTTCTTGATCCCATTTGTCTAGAACCCTTTTTATCTTTTCATTTTAAGGTGGTGCCTATCTTTAAAGTTGAGTTTCTATTTTAATCTATTCTATTTTTAAATTTTTCATACAATATATTTTTATATTCCTTCTCCTCCTCTAAATCCTCCCATATCCTCCTTATTTCCCCCCTCACACACTCATCTCAATGTATTCTTGTTACCTCTCTCTGAAAAAAGGAAGTCAAAACAAACAAAAAAGAAAGACAAAAAAATTACCAAAGGAAAACAACACCAAATGTGTAGGAAAATATCACTGAGTTATTTTTACATTGAGCAGCCCAAGTGTATGGCTGATAGACTTAGTGGCACTCCATTGGTGAGAACTGATTTTCCCTTTCCCAGCAGCTCTCAATTGTAAATAGATTTTTGCTTAGGGATGGAATTTGGTGTCCATCTCCCTTTCTCAGTGTTGGTATCTTGTCTTATTTGAACCTATACAGGTCCTGTACATGCTGCCATGGTCTTTCTGAATTCATATGTGTATCCTATGGGGTCTGGAGGATGCTCTTTCCTTGAAGTAACCCACCACCTGAGTCTTAGAACATTTTCACTTCCTTTTCCACATAAGTCCTTAAGCCTTGAGGGGAGGGGTTTGATAAAGACATCCTATTTAGGGTGAGTGTTCCAAAGTCTCTTACAAAGTCATGTAAAGACCCCTTCTTGTGGGTCTCTGTGTTGCAAGAAGAAGCTTCTCTGATGAGGGTTGAGCAGTACACTGACCATTGGATATAAATACATCATTAGGAGTCGCTTCATTGCTGTTTCTTTAGCAGAATAATAGGAGTAGGTTTTCCCTACGGTACACAGCTTATCTAATCCCAGGTTCTTGGCTACTTTAGCAGCGTTCCATCTCATGGAGTGTGGGCCTTATATCCTGTTTTTAAAATGTGATTGGTTACTCCTGAAGCCAGTTTGTGCCACCATGGCACCACTATACGATGAACTTCTTGTAGACAATAGACAGATTTTCTTAATCCATTTACCCTTGACTTTTGATTGGAATGTTGATGTCTTCGCTATTCAGACTTACTATTGAAAGGTGTGTTTAGATTAGCCATCTTGATGTTCTTTACTGGATTGTCTTCTTAGTTGTGGTTTGTTTTTTATGAAATTGGAGCTTCATTCATTTTCTTAGATTCTCTTGACTGTGCTTGTCTTTCTCTTTAGTTTGGCTTCCAGTGTTCTCTTTAGTGGTTTCTTATTGGATATGCAGCACCATTTTATGTTGACTGTAGCAATATATGAAGCTTCTACCCTCTCCACCACCTTTACAAAGATTAGTTATCTTTTTATTACTATTATTATTATTATTATAGTCACTCTGAATGGAATAAGGTGTTGTCCTACTGTGGCTTTGATTTCATTCTACATCTTTTATTCACTTTTAATTGGATTGTCCTCCTATTGTTGTGGGAGTTGGTCATGTTACACCAGCCACACCGTTTCCTAATGGGCTCTTGCTTTTACTATGATTGTCTATCATGTCATGTCAGTGAAACAAAATATTCCTTGTCACTGTCCTCATTTCTTGCCCTTATACTTACTGGCTTGACTCCATTTCTGCCTCTCCGAG